GGTAGAGCTTGGAGGCTAGGCCAAATTCATCCCCAAAAGATTTTCCCCAAAAGAAAAAGGAAGTGAGAGACTTACCTTTCAAAGGGAAGTGGGACAGTTGCAACAGTGAACATGAGGGTGACTTCTGAAATCTCCCAGGTTAACACAGTTCTAGGAATGGAAGTCCAGAAATGAAGTGAAGCCTCTGGTACTTAAGAGTAAAAGAGAAGGCAAAACTGACCACGTGGGTGGCCCTGCTCTGTGATATCCCAACTCTGTGATATCCCAACTCTGTGATATCCCAACTATTTGCAATTTATTTTCCTGCTGCCTCCATTCAATGGAGACAAGGGAAGTGAAATGACAAAGAAGAATCAAATCTGACTAAGGTTGAGGGACACTCATGGTCATGTCCAGGGGGCCTACATTTGGAGTCAGCGAAGCAGGGGATCTAACTCATATGTCAGACACATTCTATCGATTAGGCCTTGGAAAACCCTGTGGGCCTCACTTCCCTCGCCTGTCTGATAAGGGGGTTTCAAGGAAAGGGCCCTTGAAAAGGCCTAGATTTATAGCTCTTTGGATGATGATTTTTTTAGGGAAGCCAAGTATGGCAAGAATGAATACATATGTGGCAGGGGAGAAAAAATGATGCTTGACAGGCAGCATTCTAAATCACTTGGTGGCCACAACCTGACCTGTAGGGTCAAGGAAGCCTGGACTTTACCTCCCAAGTCATTTACTTACCAGACCTGTCAAAGTAACCAAGTTACTTAACCTGTGTTATACTTTGGTATCTCCTCTGAAACATGTGGATAAGAAAATTACAAATCTCACAGTTTGCTCAAAGTCCCAAAAGTGACCCAAAATGTACAGCTTTCTTTATAGAAGTGAGTCATTCTTTTTACTGGTACAGACACTTAGGAGCACTTGCAAAGAAAAATACCTCAGGAGTGCAGTGGAACCATTTCATTGGCCCATCAGGAGGCACCAGTCCGGGGTTGCCCTGACTGATGCCCCCACCCCCACCCTCTATAAATTTCTTAAGCAAATTCAATTCTGGAAACTCACCTTTCTGAAAAAACAGTGAGCTTTTCAAAATGAAATTTGTCCAGAAAGGGAGACTGTGAAACTCTTCACCGGAATAATCCTAGGACCCATAAGTGGAGAAATCATGTTAACTTTAAGGGATTCACAGGCAAAAAGATGGAGAACCTGAAGGAAACTCACTTTTCAAAGACAATGGTGCCAGCTGTGATAGGACATTTGTACACTGGAGTTAGACTGCTAAGCTCTTCCGGGGAGCACTCCTAAGGATGAAGAAGTATAGGTATAATGTTTATCATAAGGAATTAAGGAAAAAAAGATAGAGAAATTGCAGTACCTAGAGGAAGTTTCATTTGAAATAGGTAAGTTAGTATACCCCATGGGATTTTGAGAAACACTGTATTCAAAGCAAAAGGATTACTGGTATCTTTGAAGTGGGTTATGCCTCCAACAAACTTAAAAATGATTTCAATAGTCAAAAGAAAAAAATGGGAGAGGTAAGACTAAAGTTCTCTCATTCTTTCTAAAACCTCTGTTCAAATAGGACCTTTAATTGAAAATCATATTTTTTTGCTATCACTTGATTTGCCTGTTGATCTCTTGGGAAGAGACCATCTGTGTAAATTATGATATACATACTATATATTCTGTTCCCCAGAGGGGGTGTTTTTGGAACTTCAGTAAGAAAAGGTTAATTTAGGTGCTATGTGACTTCAGGTTCAGGAAGAGGACAAGGGAAAGTGGTGGTTTCACCTCAGTCTGGAAAAGAACTCTGAAATGAAGGAAACTGTGTATTGTGAACCTGGTCTAGGAATAATTTTGGCTTGATAAAAGGAACTGAACCCATTATAATCAGTTATTCCAAGGATAAGCCATGGTCATGCATTAAGCAATGTACCCTCTGTCTAAAGTTCAAATTGAAAGAATACAGTCAACAGTTGAAGATTTAGAGAAATAAGGACTTACCAAAAAGAGGCAGTGCCCATGCAGTACCCGATTTTACTGGTAAGAAAAGAATGAAAATTAGATGAAGTTAATCTATGTATCGGTTTATTCAAAATTAAGCATTCCTGTGATTCACCAACTATCTTTTCTAGATATTTGCAGGAAATTTAAAGTTGTTTATTCCACCCAAAGGGTCCACCTTAACTCATTATACCTTCCCAGCCTTCAGCCTGTGCTTGGGTCCCCAATAATTTTGGCTTCTGCACTCTCCACACTTGAGACTTAAGCATCCTCCTGGCTCTCATGAGGGAATTGCTGATTTGTGCCTCATAAAAAGATAAAGAGTATAGATGAATTTGTTTGCATATTAAATCATCAACATCTCTCAGTTTGCAATGATTTTAATAGAATTACAAACAAAAAGGAAAATAAGGAACTGAACAAATTGCTGGAGGAAATAGATCACAAAAACATCTGATATCTTCTAAATGGGACTGCAAAAGAATATACACATTTCCACAGTAGCACATGGAACTTTTACAAAAACTGACTATGTCAATTTAGGGAACAAAGATATTGCAAACAAATGGAAAAACACAGAAATAGTTAATAAATACTTTATAGACCACAACTTCTTTTCTGACGACAATTATGACTTTATTAGAAGCATCTCAAACAACCATTAAATCATGTCTTCTCAAACATAAGCATAGAGCCAGATCCAGATGACTCAATTATTTAGAGAAGAACCAACTAGATATCACTTGAGCTACAACATTTAATCTTCTGCACTGGGGCAATAGGGTGTGGCATTATCACCAATAAGCTGTGACTGGGAAAGGAACCTCTCTGTATCACAGGTTCTCTTTCATTCTCCAAGCAATGCCACAGGATCCAGTATGTAAGCTCCTACTTAATATTTCTGCTTAGTTTTTGTAGCATATACAAAGGTGGACTCATTCAGAGATGTATGGGCATTTCATCTGTTGCCCTACAAGTACACTTTTGAGGGGGCACTTACACAATGGCAAATTGAACAGACAATTTTGTGGAGGTTAAAAGTCAGAAAATATTTGGGTATGAATGTGGTCTCACTAAGACTAGACAAACAGCAATTACCACAAGGTGCACCCCAACACATGAGCTAAGAATGCAGAGAACCAGGGCAACATGAAAGCCAATGCCAGTTGCCTATTAATCTGGAAACTCTGATTCCCAGTCAATGAGCTTGCCCAAAGTCAGACAGTTAGTCAACAAGTATTAAAGGGTCTACTATATTCTAAGCACTGTGCTAAGTGCGGGGGATACAAAAGAAGGCAAAAGACAGTCTCTCTTCTCAAGTAGCTCATAGTCTAACGGGGAAGACAATATGCAAACAATTATGTACAAACAAGCTATATACAGGACAATTGGAGATAAACTACACAGGAAAAGCACTAGTATTAGGGGAGTTTGGGAAAGACTTCATGTAGAAGGTGGGGTTTTAGGTGAGACTTGAAAGAAGTCAGGGAAGCCAGTAAATAGAATTGAAGAGGAAAAGAATTTCAGGCATGGTGGATATCCAGTGAAAATGCACAGTCCAGAGAGATGAAGTTTCTGGTTGCAGGGAACATCAAGGAGACCAGTATCACGGAATCACAAAGTACATAGTTGGGGACTAAAGGGAGTGGCAAGACTATGAAGGACTTTGAATGCCAAACAGAGGCTGTTCTATTTGTTCCTGAAAGTGATTAGAAGTCACTGGACTTGACTGAAGACAGAAATATCTTTTCCCCACTCCTCAATTTACATTAAACTTGCCAGAACTCCAAGGATGAATAGTTTTTGTTTTTTTTTTTTTTGAAGTGAAGGACTCATGTAAGTATTTGGAGACTAATTTTCTTCAAGATGTCTTCCAATCTTTAATGTTCCTGGCTACCATTCCAGTTAGAAGGGAGCAAACTCTGATGAGTTCTGAGGCTACAAACAGAATACAACAAATAATGTGAATGGACCCGAGGGTCCATCATCACCTTGTGCAAGTGGTACAATGGAAGATTCCTTAACTCCAGCATCTCTGGTGACAGCAAAATGGAGACAGGCAAGAAAGCACTGAGATACACTTTGGGTTCTCACTTGAGCAACTTTTTACATTTCTACCAGGCTCTCAGTTTGAATAATAAAAAGTAAAAAAAAATAAATAAATAAAATAAACTCCAAGAAATTAGACAGGTTAGCAGAGAGCAGTTCATCCCACTCACCCCAAAACAAACTAATTTCTTCTCAGATTCTTTTATTTTTCTCTAAATGGTATCTATACACACATGTATTTTAATGATCACTTTGATTCCTTTCCATTGCTACAGCTTTTGTAAGCCTAGATCTCAAGGCATCCTTGAAGTCACCACTCTTATTCAATTCCTTTAGCCTTCAGTTCCAGCTTGACCCATTGCAGATAGTTGGGATCAGAGTAACCAAAGTTTTCTGGCCCACGGAATTAGAAAGTTTTGTGGTGAAGATCATTCCAAGTGATCACATCCTTGACTCCTGATATCTGAGACTGTACTACTGTGAAAATCAACCTTTGGTCAAAAGCTCTTCTGATGGGATGCAAAATCTGCCATCCTTCCTCATTATTTGGCAAGCATGCTACCCTTCTTGTTCCTTCATAGTGTTTTCCTAGGTTGGGGTGATCTTCCATTTGTATGCCTCCCTGCATGTCATAATGAATCATAATAATGCCGCATGAATTATAACCCGGAAGTGAAGAAGTTATGTAAAAGGTTGTCATGGTTCCATCTGGCTGATTCTTTTTCATGATATGATAGGAAGTCTGGCACATAGGGCCCACTGGCCTTTGTTTAATGTCCAGAGAACCCATGTTCGAACTTTGGGAGGACTTCTTTGTGGTCAATGATTTCCAGAGAGATGGTACACTCCTCTCCTCTTCTTCCTCCTTCTCCTCTTCTCCTAAGTCCCCACAGCTAGGCAATCTCTTGGAGGGAGGTAAAGCCATCTTGAAATCATCACCATATTTGTCCAAGGGGTTTCTAATTCTCTCCAAGGGAGAGAGCTGGCTCCTGTTTCTGCTGAACAGGACCTTCAACGCTGAAGTATTTCTTAACGTACTTCATTGCTTTCTCAATGTACTTGGGCAGACCAGTCAGTGTCAGTTCTTGTTCATTCCACTCCAGGATTACGTGGGGGTGCTTTCTCTCCAAGTTTTCAAAGAAGGTCTTTTCAAGCCAACACTTTCTCTTTTGGTCTAATGGTTTCAGGGTCACCACTTCTGTGACAATCTGAGGTAAGAGCATCTGAAAGATGTCAATGAAATCTTCATAAGCATGTGCAGAGAGGTCTAAGTCTTTGTCTTTTGGTTTAAATACAATGAGGGTCTTCTGAGTTTTGGATTTGTGCACCAATTCCATTACAGTGTAATATGTTTTCTCAATTTCTCTGATTTCTTGGCCCAGAACACGCCAGTGAGCAGTATCAACCTCAATTCCAGTGTTCACGTTTTCAGGAGCTGCTGGTTCCTCAGGTTGTTTGTTGGAGTAGTTTTCTTCAATGTATTGTTGAGCTTCTAAAATTTCCTTCGGGTTTCCCCAGAGGACTAAGTCCTTTTCTTCAGCTTTGATATGGAGATTTTGAAACATGTCAGTCAGGGTTTTTTGCATGTCAAGTACCACCTTATTATCGGTGAAATGAACATCCTTATGGACCACATTCTGTATTTCCCTCTGAAAGGTTCTGGTAAAAGCTTCTTGAGCTGCATCTCTGTCCCATGCTTTATTTGTCTCGAAGTCTAAACTCACATTGCCAGTAGGATATACCAAAGCACTTTTGATGCGCACTTGATGCTCAATTTCTATTCTGTCCAGAGTTTCAGCAAAGAAATATTTGAAATATTCATACAAATGTGAAGGAACCGACAGAAGGTCCAATTCCTCATCAGATCTCGTTTTGGGGTTTGAGTAAAGAACAAGACTGTTGCAGTCATTTGGCATAATTTCCTCAATTTCACTTGCTGAAGCCGAGTCGGAGAAATCATCTTTCTGGTCATTTCCCAGCATGGTGTCACTTAAGAATCGATAAATTTTTTCAATATCTTCAAAGTCGCCAACCACTTTCTCAGGTCCATCAAAGCCTCCCTCTATTTTGATATCTGGGCAGATGGTAATAATTATCTCTTTTTGTTCTCTGGAAAGCTTGAAGGTCAGCTGAGCCTCAACATGGAGAAATATCTTTTGAATGAAGAAATTAGAGGGGATAAGAGCACGGATTTCTTCTGGGCTCTTCTCAATGGGAATTTCCTTTGGCTCTGACTGAATCAGAGAGGGAAACTGTTTTATCTCCAAAATGCTGTTCCCATCTGGGTCTTCATCTTTTTCTAGGTAGATTTTCACCTGTACACCATCACTGACTGCCACAGAGTGATCTTTCTTTGCTAACACACCGTCTTTGGCTTGTTTTTTACTAAACTCTATCCAGAAACTGCCACTATTGGGACCAACTTTGACCTTGCACTTGCCTCCCCCAGACTTCGATGTGTTCTGGAAATACTTTTGCAGCTTCTTCTCTATTCCCAAGTGGATCTCAGACACCCAGACTAGGAGCCGGTATGGCGGGCTATCGGCGGCACCGTCGGTGGCCATCAGGGCAGGGAAGGGACTCGTGAGTCAAAAAGCTGGGGTGGCAATGTTTCTTTGCTGGGCTCTGGATGAGGAAACTGGGAAGCAAAGAGAGGAGACAAAAAAAAGTGCTGTCAGCTCCCCACCTACACCTTTCTGCCCAGACCATAACTTAATAAAAATAGTAATAGGTTCAGACAGCACAAACATAAGAAAGAACTAAATGGCAATTTAACAATGAGATCCTAAATAATGAGAATTTCAAAGAATAAATAAAAAAAAACCAAGTAATTATTTGAAAAAATGATGGGGAGAAAAATGAGGAGGAAGAGGAGAATGATTATGATGATAAAGAAGAAATAATATACAATAATTTCCAGGATGCCAATAAAGCAGTCCTAAGGAAAGGAAAAAAAAATATATATATATACACACACACATACATATACATATATATATATATATCCTCACAAACGTACATTAACAACACAGAAAATAAGAATAATGAACTGAATATTCATTGAAAAAATTAGAAAGCCAACAAATTAAAAAGCTTAAAATAAGCACAAAGATATTAAAAATAGAGGAGAAACAGATAAACTGAAAACAAAAATACCCTAAAAGAAATGATACCTAAAATTAAGGCTGGTTCTTTGAAAAGACTAGTGAAATCGATAAACCTTTAGCTAATCTGATTGAAAAGAAGAGGGGAGAAAATCAAATCAATGAAATAGAAAATGAACAAAGTGAAATATCAACAGAACCAGAAGAAATGAAAACAATCAGCATATTACGTACAGTAACCAAAAACTGTATCACAAGTCTGAGAGACATGCATTGCAACTGAAATTATTACAAGAGAAAGGCAATGTGGGGACTCCCAGCAGTGCAGGGAAAAGTCTTGATATTTAAATTACAGGGGAAAGGGGAAGTAATATGGTAGAGGAAAAGGACTCACGAATAAGAAAAATGTCAAAAGCAGCATTCTTTTCCCTTGGGAACTGCTAGACAATGAACATGTATCATCTACAAGTGTCCCAGCTACAGAAAAAGTTTCTCAGTCAGGTGCAGACTGACTGGCACCCGCCTTGACTCGCAAGGAACACAGAGGGAGTTGAGCTTGAAGTACAAACAACAAATTATGTCAGCTCTGGGGTGGGGCCTCATCCTTGTCATATTCAAGGCCTCTTGAATACTCCAGGTCCAATGTTTCAGCAAAATATGGAAACTCAAAAAGATAATTTCAGGGGACCCCTTAACAATCGCTCCCTACCCCATCTTGGTGAAAGGGGACCCCTGGGCATACCAGTGACCACAGAGAGTGCATTTGGTAAAACATTCCTGTGGATACTACCCAGAAAGGGTCTCTGGAGGTAAAAGAAAGAAACACTTCAAAAGGATAAAGGTCAACAGACAGAAAGCTATCAAGACACCTTGGGCACTTTTACATCTTGTAGGAAAACAAGATAGTTCAGTTATAAAGAGAGATCAGAACCAGAACCATAAAGGACATCGTAAAAATGCTCAAAATTTGGGATTAATCCTGAGGGGAAATCGTACAACACCAAGAAAACTGAGAGAACTTAGTGTACAGATACAGAAAATAAAAGCCAAAGGGATATAATAATGGACATCAATATTAACAAACATTGTCTCCCTGCAATAACCCTTCCCAATATCCATTCAATCAACACATTTCATCTTGGATCTCAGACATTCCGTGCAGTCATCCTGTCCCTGGCACATCTCTTCTTGGGGCAATCTGGAAAATATTGTGTCCTCGGGGGACCACCTCAGTGGACCTCCTTTCTGGTTCCAAGTTACTTGTAAAGACTCCTTAAACATTTCTGCTAAAATCTGCTACAAAACAGATCTCAATACAAGATTTCCATACTAGTAACAAAATTTACTTCTCTAACAACTAGTACATGTGGTGGAAACCAGCTGGACCCTAGTGATTCTTATCTAATAAATAAAAGAGAAATAAGGGGAACATCAAATTAGGAGCTCATAGTCCACCTGAAACTTCAGGAATTTAGGTTATAAATACTCCATGCTGTTTCTATCTTTATCTAAATTCTATACCTAACATAAACATTGTTAATTACAAGCTAAAGGGTTACTGTTATATTGACATATGTAAGACATTTGAATACAAACTAAATATTTTAAATACCACTGAAGGTAGAACTTTAAAAACCATCCAAATTACACACATATATTCATTTAATTTTGTTGTTTTCTCAACATTTTTATTAAATTTTTTTACTTTGCAATTTTTATTTTAACTGTTAATTATTTTGGAACTCCAAAATTAAATACTACTTAATTTAATTCCAATTCAATTGAATTCAATTATTCAATTCCCTCCTTAGGAGGAGTAGAGACAGATAAGGATCTATTCCTCACATTAAAACACACATTACAGAATAGTTTTTGTAAGAAGATGACCTATGATACACCAATGAAGTTGCATAAAAATTACCAAATTAACTACAAGTGTAGCAAAAGACTTGAGATGGGACATGTAGATACACTTAAGTAATCAATTTCAAAACAGCATATATCAAAGAAGTTGTTTATAATAAAATATATTTGAACCACAGGAAATAATAAGTATCATTTCCACATTAAATAAGAATCTTAAATAAAACTGACTTTCCATTGGTATAACACAAATTATCCATAAGTAACTATCCTATAAGAGAACTGATTGCAATAAAATTCATTTCTTCAAACCAAACTGAAGATGTTTCTGATTTCTTTTTAATTATCAATAGAATAATACCAGCTTGGCCTCACAAACTTTTGCATCAACACCCAATTATTCTCACATCATTTGGAAATATTTAAGGATCTTATTTTATACAGATATGTATCTATATCTATAGATATATATATATACACACATACATATTTACATATACATACTCATATGTATGTATGTATGTATGTATGTATGTATGTATGTATGTAAACAGGCACAGATGACTATGCCAAATACTCATTTACTAAGTTGTTTAGGATATAGAAAAGACTAATTCCAGGCTGAATAGCTCAGATCTTACACATATGTGTTTTATTATAATAGTCCAGATGTGTTCTAGCCTTAGTCTATGGGATAATGATTTAACATTTTGTTTGTATCTTTGTTTCACAAGCTTCTTTTACCTCTGTCTAATTATTCCCATAGCACTGAGAAAAAATGAGCTGTACCAGGGACTTAATGTTACACATGACGATGTAAGTATTAGCAGACAGATGACAAGCCCAAATACTAAGTTACTTAGTTCTTTGGGATATGGAATGACTAAAATCCAGGCTGGGGAACCTGTGGCCTTGAGGCCACATGTGGCCTTCTAGGTCCTTGGGTTGTAAAAAAAAACAAACAAACAAACAAAAACAAAAACAAAAAACAAACAAACAAAAAAAACTTGAGTCCAAGTTTTACAGAACAAATCCTTTTATGAAGGGGATTTGTCCTGTGAAGTTTGGATTCGGTCAAAGGGCCGCACTTGAGGACCTAGAGGGTCACATGTGACCTCGAGGCCACAGGTTTCCCACCCCTGGATTATACATTTAGACTGAAAACAGTAAGATCTTACATACTTGTGTTGTGCTTCTATCTTCTACTGACCACTCGCTCTGATTACAGAAATTTGCTATTACTGTTTCCTTTTAGAAACAATAGGGAAATGATTCTAACAGCATCAAACCTAGCCCTTAATGATTCAACACATATATGGCAGGATAAAGCATCCTTACCTCTGTTTGACTTTAGGTAAGAGTCAAAGCTGACAACCACTTGTGCATAAACAATTCCACCTCATAGTCAGACTCAGGAATAGCCAAGTGGGAAAATATTCCTGTTCAAAAGGAAGTTACACAATGCGGAAACTAAACCAGAAAGATCCTACCTTATGCTATGCCAAGCTCTTTACCTTTGCTTTTTCCCAGATACAGACCTCTACCTGTAAGGGTTCAAGATCACATTCCCTCTGAGTAGCTTGTGGCATTTCTCTTTAATGTGAATTACTGACTTAATGATCCATCAGATAATTATACCTGGATTCAAAACTGAAAACAATATCAGTTACAGTCCCAAGAGCTTTTACCTCAAATGACGAATTTCACTAATCACAGCTTAGGACTTGATACAATTATTTTTACTCTCATGGAGTTGCAATAAGCAATAAAAGCTAACCAAAACTCACACACACGAGAGATTTCACTTAACATTCTTCACTTGTTTTTCTTTTCTTTTTCTCCTTCAGCTAAGACTCATCCTGGAGTAAGGATCAATCATTAGAAATCACTTCTATATTATACACAAACTTGAAAATTCTCAGTTAGCCAATTTCATTGTTTAGGAACTCCATAACCCATAATAAATAAGCTCTTTTCCCAAGGCTGATGACCTCGCCCACACAGATGGTTTCCAGGAATATGTCAAGTTCACAAAATAAGGGGAGTCTACAAGGTCTTTTCTTTGTACTATTTCTCACACAGTAATCAGTGACCAATTTTTCCTTTTAAAATACCTATATAAATATTTGAAAGGTTTTAACATTATGACAATAATCCCAAATAACTTAGTTAACAATTTTACAATTTTCTTAAGTGATAGCCAAGTAGTTTTAGCTGTAACTTCCTTTTGACTCTAGGCAAAGATGGAAATTTTCAATTTCCTAAATTGTACTTACAAAACAGGATTAGCAAGACCAATAAAATAACATTTTTAAACATTTTTTCCACCTTCATTTAGTTGTTCAGTTCATACTCTAATAACATTCAAGTTATGAAAAGTTGTTCTTCTAATGACGTAATTGATACAATAGGTTACCAATTTCACAATATAATAAAATTAAGCAATATAACAATGCCATAAATAATAGCATGCATCTGAGACTTAAAACAAACCCATTAACACTCAGATGACTTCAATTCAGTTGAATGCATTTCCAAATTACCTTACATAGAAAATCATTCTATCATCATTGGCATTCTATGCTGATCACATCTAA